TGTGGATGTGGGTGTGGATGGGTGTGGGGGTGGGGTGGGGTGTCGGTGTGGATGCTGGGTTTTAGTGTTGTCATCAGCCATACCAACCCACACTCACACCCTACACCGACAATCTAACTGGTGAATTTGGTTCAAGTGTTTTACGACATTTACTTAAAAGTGGAAATAATCCTATAGGTATTATTCGCTTTTGAAGATGAGAGTGATAAGTGACTTGCAGAACATCACAGTGCTATTGAAGTAGCAAAAAATCTCCGTATAATAAAACATAATCTTCATACAAGTGTGATATTAACGATACATGAGAAACAGAAATAGTAACAGCTCATTTGAGTTCTGGACGATTAGTAAGAAGATGAAATCTCAAATATACAATAATTTGTGAAGGCATCTATTGTATTTTTCCATCAAGAGAAATTCTTGACGACGCAACAGCTAAATTATTATTTTAACTTAGTGAGTGTGAAACTCAAACAATTCTATTATCTAATTCGAAAGTTTATACAATCAAACAAACAGTTGCAGTAGCAGCAGACATTTTAGATCATAAGATTTCTGTTTGAATTGGTTCATTGAAAGAGTGGGTGTGGGTATGAATTTTCTCTTTATCGATACCCACATCCACATCCAAACTATAATTGATCAGTTCCGTGTCTATTAATTATTGCTTAAGCAACCTAGTGTACCCTAAGAATTGACGCTTGAGTGGTTCATTTTAAACTGTAACTTATAAAAAGAATGATGATGAGAAAGGAATACGAATATAGTTAAGTAATATATTAAACGACATCACATTTGACAATCAACAAAAAAGAAATGAAAGTCAAACAGTGAGTACTTGGTAAAAATAGGTTGCAAATATTCTTTCTTTGCCATCACATGCTACTGTAGTAGAAAGTCTAATAAAGTATTTTTTTTGAAAAATTTATTGACAATAGTCTCGAGTATAAAGAGCTGGGTTCAGGGTTGCCAGATTGTCCGAATTAGTCTGAATTTTCAGACTTTTCTAAGTTTTTCAGACTGCGTTCCGACTGTCCGAATTTATCCGAATTCTCGGATTTTTTCCGAATCGTAGTATTTTTTTTAAATTTCCTGTCCATTACAATTTTCCATATATATTTTGATAGATTTCATATGGCGCCATCTTTATTTTCTTATAATCATTGGGTAATTGATTGTATTATTAGAGATAAGAGGAGAAGAGAGAGAAGAGAAGATTTAATATAATCTTTTTTTCAAAACTTTTCAAATGTTTTTCAAATTTATTAGAATAGCTTCAATCAATATTTAGTCAAATGAATCATCTATGGTCTAATTATCGCAATCGAATGGATATAGAATTAGTTGAAGCTGAACTACAAATCCGAATGAATTCTGATATTCATTGTTCACGTTTTTATGACTTTCTTTTAATTCAAGACGAAGTATTGACAAAAATAGCTTCAAATGAAAAAGTTGTTAGAAAGACACGTCTTGATAAATGAACTTTAGTGTTTCTCCATAAGTGTTTTGAATTGTATATATACATATGTATAGATAGTGTATTTTGAGTTGTTTTTCTTGTATTAACAGTATCTTCTTGAAAATGATGTTTCCTAATGGTGTTATAATTAACCCTTTGGGGACGAGCGTGGTATATATACCACTTAACGTATTTTACAAAATTTGAGAATGATATATATTTCAAATCAATCAGAACTGAGTGGAAATAACCTGTAGAATAATATGATTGTATCTGTACAATAAATTACCAGTATTCGAAAAGTGTCGAAAATATCTACACTATTTATATGAAACGTAAAATTCAAAGAATTTACAGTTAAAAAAGGTTCGTGTTCAACTGATAAAAAATATACTATGTCAAACTATGGTTATCAAAAACGAATTTCTATCGGAAGACCATCAATTGATTCACCGCTATGTTTATCTGCTAGACATTTTCCAGCACTTGCATTCTAAACTATCTCAAAAATAACTACTCAACGGAAATGTCATGTATCGTCTCATACAATAAAGCGTGAAAAGTCAGTCAAATATAGAAGATATCAGTGTGAAGAATGTGATATTGGGTTATACGTGACTGATTTTTTTAAAACTTATCATATCCTAGAACACTTTTGATAATGATTTTTAATTGAATAAATATATATCCTCACTAATAAAAATTTTAATTATTTCTCAAAATCCCCGTCTCCAAAGGGTTAATACATTTATTTTAACATTGATGAAATATATCTACAGAAAGAATAACCAAATGCAGAAGACTTTTGTTAGAAAAAATTCGCTTAAGCGTCAAAAAGCTTAAAAATAACTTTCCGAATTTTTTTCCGAATTAAGCAGATATTTTGTCCGAATTTTTCAGAATTCCAGCAAAAGAATTCCGATTTGTAAGATTTCGATCTGGCAACCCTGGCTGGGTTAAATAATTGCTTCGTCACTTTATCGTTACGATACGAATGTCATTTTGGTGAAAGATTATCATCACAGGCAAATTTGAAAGCATATTGACCAAGTAAACGAGTTGTATCAACAACAGGTTTCCCAAGATTATTTTCGTTATATACTACAGGTAACTCTGTACATCCAAGAATCACCGCATCACAATCATATTTCTGTATATCTTGTTGAATATTTTCTACGGTACTTGAATTTATCTGTGATGGAATTATTTCATTTCTTATTAAATGTTCAATTTTATCACATACATCATCGGTTGGAATCATCGGAGTAATGTTCTTCGAATTTAGAACTTCATTATATAATCCACCTTGCATTGTAAGTTTAGTTCCAAGGACTAAAACTTTCGAGAAACCTTGTCTCTGACATTCATCAGCCACTATTTTGATTAAATTAACAACTTTCAATGGTGAATTCTTTTCAATAAGATCAATAGCGAAATGAGGAGTATTTGATGGAATAATGACAAAATCAGCACCGACTTTTTCCAGTAGTCTAATCGATTCGCATACTTTGTTGGCCAAACTAATCCAATCTTTTCTAATGATGCAGTCTTTGTATTGATCATAAGAAAAAGCATGCATTGTAAAGTCTGGATGTTTTCCTGATGAGTCGATTTTCGCCGCTTGTGCAACAATTTCATTGGCACATAAACATGCGCCGACTGTGGTAATGTCGACGATTCCTATGTGCTTCATACGTTGTAAACTAGAAATAATTCTTGACTGGTGAATAATTGATTTAACAGACATGATTCATGTCTTAAAACGACAAATTAGAAAAGTTATACATAATATTTCAATATGGTTGTCGATCGAATAACAGTTCTCAAAGTATCTCCTACTGTCAAGAGATGTGAATGATATCAGAGTAAGAGGATGTGATTTGGGAACAAAAAAGACTTTCTATAGACATCGTAGAGATTGACATCACCACATTCGTAAATAGTCGGAAATATTACATTAGAAATCGAAAGATTGGAGTGAGTTTTAGACTTCTATACTTCTCAATTATATTATTTTGAGAATGATTGCTTTGCTTCCAATTTCTAGCACAAGGTCATATAGAATCGCACTCAAATCGACGAAAAGTTTCTCTTCAATTCCAAGAACCAGGTAAGATCGAATATCAGAATATGTCGTGATTTGTTTCTTGCTCTCAAGTTGTGCCAAGAGCGAGGTAAAAATATTTAAGCTAAGAAACCAACTGTAAATATCTATTAATTATGTTAATGAGAGGAAAGAAAAAAAATATTATTGAGTCGTCGCTCTCAGTCAATAAAAAACATGGTGCTTGTTCACTTTAAACATATTCCATACACTAATTGGCGTATTTAACGCTCACACATCAAAGAGTGCGGGTGAGAGCATATGTCGAAAGTGAACAAGTACCCAGTGATCTCCTTGTTGAAATCGTCGATACTGACACCACCGAAAATATCGAAGACATCAGAAAAGAGGAATCAGTCGAAGAGATACGTCTAAAACTCTTCGAAGCACTCGACATATTCAAAAGGTTACATTTATTTACATTGGAAGTACAACCTAAACTCTACATACTTATCAGAGAATTCGAGTCGAAAACGACTAAACTTTATCTTGACACGAAAGTGTCTAAACAAAGTTCTATAACTGACTTTTTCGAAATATATTGATGAAATTCAAAAAATTTTCAATAAGTTATGCATGAGATGCCTAACTCGAAGTATCATATAAATGACCCTCGGCCAGCATAAGATAGATTCGAAAATAAATGAATAAAAATTATGCCAGCACTTGCCTCTAGCAGAAAAAAAATTATTTGAATTATAAAGTATAAATGAGATAGGACCAATTTATAGCTGCGGCAAAAATTGAATCTTTCCGTTATATTTTTGATTCAGTTAATAAGGTCAATGTAGTAATTGACGTCTCTTTGGATTTTCATTTCTTCCATAACTGAAAGTTGCCCGACTCAATATTTATTCGAGAGAAGCACTTCTCACCATTTAACTGATTTTTCATTTCAGCGTGGCGTCACGAAGCGTCCTTTGAAGAGCTGCTTTGGCGATTAATACTAATTTGAAAATGTTTGAGCTTTTGCTAACTTAGTCTTCAAGAAAACAGAATTTATCTCACATTTACATTGCAATAATAAAGGACTGTGCGTGGGTAAGTTTTTTAAATAGTATGACGCTATTAAAAATTGCTTGATTATTTTATGGAATGTCTCTTAAATGAGTTGAAAACAAAGAATACTCACGTACTGCAAATGAAGCTGGACTAAATGAATTACGTTTTATTTATTTTTGCAGGTAGTATTGCTACGTATTTATAAACGATGAAACTGCTTGGCTTTTTCCAATTTACGTCTCATGATATGCATTAGTGACGCATGACAGTGTCATAAGATAGATAGTTGATTTCGTAAGGATATACTATTAATCACACGGGATTATTTTTTTCCAACATTTTCTTCCATTATACGTCTTTTTCTTGCTATGCATTACGTGTCACTATACGAAAAAAATGTACACTGATATTCGGTCGTAAGAAGTGAACCAAATTGACGCTAGTCAAACATTAGTTCATCGTCCACATTATACCCATATATATATACTGTATATATGTCGACTGTAAAAAAAAAATGATGTTCAATTTACCTTATCGTGATATATCTTCACATAGACTTAATTTGTTCTAAACGCCGATGATATTCTTGTTGAACACTTACAAATAAATTATATACGCAGCTTAATTAGTTTGAATTTACAATGTTGTATTCTAAATTTATCATAGAACTCAGAAAAATCTTGTATGCTCTTGAAATTTAGTGAACTAAAACGCATAGAAGTTCATTGAGAACTCTAACACAATAAATTCATGACTCACTTATAGCGACAGTTATTGGTAACGTTCTATGACGTTTTATTGCAAAAACTATGAAATCCATTTAGACTACAAGTACAAGTTGAAAAGTAATCATATGAAAAAACATAATTCACCAAAGAAAAGTTACAAATAAAACAATGATATCGTCATTCATGAAATTTCATCTATTTTTTTGTTATCTGCTGTAGATTGCTGCACCTGTTTAATCTTAACAAAAGGACACGAACGTAAAGAAATAATTAAATTATCAGAAATATAATAAATAATTTATGCGTACTGAAAAGAATCATCATTATCGAGAAAATAAATTGCACAATACCTTGTACATTAAAATAAGATCAGATTCGCATCTTCAATTTAGCATTTTGAATTCGATTCTTGAAATATATAGAATATTAATATAATTTTTTGTACAAATGTATGTAGTAGATACACTACGCTGTCAATGTATCTATAAAATGAACAATAACTTCAATATGATATTCTTTACAGATTTATAATCACGTTTCTATTGAACAAAAAACTCGAAGATGAAAGAATGACAATAGTTTCTAAGTAGTGGACGATATCTTATCATAAGCCTTCTTTGATACCATGAGTAGTAGATTTGTGAACAAATAAAATGTGATTATTCTTTCAATATATCAAATCCTTGTCATTATTTTCTCTAGGTTACTGTTGCATTTATTTTCTAAATAATCGGTATGTTCTAACAAGTACTCTAATTGACATAAATTCACATGCTATAAGTAGCATTTACATGTTACAATTTATTTTATTGTAGAGCAGTTATACGATTGTTTTTCAATTGAGAGTGGGTGTGGATGTGGTGTGAGAGTGAGGCTGATCTCAACTCAATCCGACACCAACACCCACTCACATCCACACCCATACCCACAATCCACACTTTGTATAGTGACAGGTCATACGGAGAATAGTTTATAGTGAAAGTCTCAGATCTTCTCATTTCTTCTATTTTGAAGTAAGAAGCCCGAAATCTGTTTATATGGATGAGCGATATAGAAGCAGTCTTTTATGGTAATTTTATCTTAGGATAGGAACAGCCAAGAGATATGAAACTTTCCCAATAAACTTCGCTTGTTACGGTCTGTCACTAAGGAATGTTTGATGTTAAAATTCCAAACTTAGTGTTTCCGATGTTCCTGAGGAGAACTATGGCACCGTGCTTAAACGTAACGTTCAAGTTGGTATGAATTTGAATGTTCGGTGTGGTTGGATGTGTGTGGGTATGGTGTTCTCTTCATTGACAATCACATCCACGCCAATATCCACACCCAAACCAACGCCTCACATCCATATTCATCTATGCCCATACTCCAAATCCGTACATCCGACTCGTACACCCAGATATACATGCGCACCTGGACACTCACACATCCACACCCACACCCTATGCTAAATGTTAAATGCGTGTATGATGTGATTAATTCTACTAAAACATCTCCGCGAAATCTAATGAACAATGTATGATTCCATGAGTTTTCTTGGGCATCAACGTCACAGAATCACAAGTAATCCATTTTTCAGGGACGCATATTGTTAATGTAGCTGAACATGAAAGCCATTGACTGTAACAACGATGGTATCTATTGTGTTAGTTGAGATAGTATCTTGAACAAAGATAACGCTCGAAAGCAAGATGCTTCAGTTTCTGCTTTGTGCCTCTACGAATACTTCCAAATATTAATGCCCTTGTGGTTTTTACTCTCAGGTATTACAAGAAAAGCTTTCTTTTTGAATTCGATATTTTAAATGCAAAATTCTATACCAACAGATCTATTACAGAGCTCGAAGGGTCCTATTATAAGAATACAAATCGGATCAGCTTTTGAACTTCAAATCTATCATAAATTTAAAAAAAAATTAAAATTCATATTTTCGTGGTCCACGAAATCCCAAATAGCATGTTGAAATGTCTATTGCAATCCGAAGAGTTCACTATCCGTGCTATATACTTTAACGTTCAATAACAATCATGTTTCACCAAAGATGTGACCAGAATAAAACTATATTAGCAACAAGTGATTATACAATTGACAATCGAAAACAAAGTACATATCTCTAGAAATTCTTTTTCAGATATTCGATGGCATCTGCAATAGCTTTGTTTTTTTGTTTTTCGACTTGTTGACTGCCATCAGGTCGAACAACAAATCCATGAGAAGTACCAGGATAATCGATAAATTTTCCAAGACCACTTTGAGTCAGTTCTTTTTGAAAATGTTCACGTATATCGGGTGTAAATCTTTCATCGATTTCAGCACATTGAAATAGGATCGGTCGTTTGATTTGTTTTGCTTCTTCTTTGACTAGAAACGATGGATGAGCTACAACAGCTGCTTTTACGGACGACGATAATTCCGGATGTGTAATCAAATGAATCACTATTTTACCACCGTAACAGAAACCAACAACCTACCATAATGCAAAAATAATTTTGATATCATCATTAACTTGATCAACAAACAATGTATGATTACTTGAATAGAATCATAGTGTCCTTTGATTGTTGAAATAATTTTATCAGCTACACTACAAGCATCTGTTGAAGGATGTTTATTGAGCCATGCTGGTAATTTGTCGAATAAGTTCGGCTCTTTCGGATTCATTGAATCGCCATTGAACATGTCAGGTACAATGACAGTTGTTTGTAAACCTTGTGCATAAGTATCGGCTATTTTACGTATGTTGATAAAAGAAAAACCAAAAATGTCAGTGAAAATGATGATTGTTGATTGGCCTCGGCCCGTTTTGTATGTTGCTATTCCAGCTAATGTCTCTTCATGTCCTTTTGCATCATGACTCTGTTTTGCTCCTGAATCAACACAACATGAACCACTCAGTACACTAAAAACTTCTTTCGCAGTAGAATTAAAAGAACGATGTAACGTTTTTATCAGCGCTGTAGAATAACGAAATATAAACATGAATTACTCTAGAACAGAAAAGAAAACGAGTGCACATATATTGACCCTGGTAACCCTTCTTCTTCTTCTCACTCACTCTTGTTTTTCTTTTCTTTTTTTTCAATAACTCCGTCTACCAATGAGAAATGCTGAGAACTAGATGACGCTACACGATTTCAACAAAATTATGTATCTGATATAGTTACTGCAAGATCTTTGTATTAGACAAAAATAAATGCCTTGTTCCTTTTGAAAACCGCAACCATAATGATAGTATAAAAAGCCATGAGACTGACATAAAAAGCAATGGAAAGCAAGTTACGTAGTACCAGATAATCCGATAATTTCGTGTTGTAATTTTGAATATGGGTACGGATTTCGATGTGAATGTGAGTGAACAGAAGAATGACTTATGTCAGTACGGATGTGGGTGCGAGTGTTCTCTTGGCTTTGCTCTTAATTTACACGCACACCCACATTCTCCTTATATTCCATGAGCCGTTTGCACAACAGTCATGTATAAATCATTCGTTTCATGAAAAAAAGGATTTATCGCTGTATCTGTTACTGCTTGACTTATACTGAAGCGCAGCAAAGAGAATATCTACGTAAATCTATTCATCAAACTTTCTATGCGAATAAAGAAAAAAGTGCTACTAACGATTACCATTAAAATGATTAACTTATATGAAGAGCTACACAACAACAGTTTTTCAGGAGTATGAAAAACCATCAATAACTTTATTCAAAGACTCAAATAGATTTATCTTTGAATAACACACATTTTCTATTATCTCGAACTTTTTGCCCTTCAAACACTCCTAGATTTCGATAGAACACAGTGACATAGTGTACATCTTATGCGATATTGTTAACATTGACATTGAAAACAATATCGAGTTGTACATCTACCGCAGGATTGAACTCTATATGTTGCATCATACCGTAATGATTTCTACTGAAAAGAATGGTGTACTCTACATGTTACACGATATTGTCAAGATTTTAATTGAAAATGGTGGCGTACTTTACATCTCACAACATATCGTTAAGATTTACATTGAAAATAGGGGCGAACTCTATATCTAATACAATATTGTTTCGAGTTCCATTGAGAGTTCACGGGAAATTGTGAAGTCCAGGAACTTAAATGAAAGGGATTCAAAATAGAATATAACTCAATTTAAATATAGAAGATCAATGATTCCTCCTTTTTTTTAATTGTTTTTCATTTCAAATAATTGTTTTCAGTATTTATGTTTAATTTTGCCAGAACGTCAACATTGTCTAGCGCATACTTTTTCCAAGCAACGCAATTATGTTTCAACTTGCTCAATCTTTATTGACATGTAAGAGCCAATGAATCATAGAAGTGTATACAGCTCAGACGTAAAAATATTCATTTCTTCACTTCTTACCTCCTCTTATGTAAAGAAAAAAATGTGACAATCGTCACGATCGTATTGAAAAAGATACATACTGGTGAATCATTCTATATTTTTTTCATCACATGTTTATATTGTCACGTGTTTTATTATCAACGATTTCTCACGTTCATATATTTACCTATCGATATGCATACTCTATTTGCTATTTCGTGTATTGGTTTGATGAAATTAATAGTATTTTTTCGACGACTGTTTTATTTTAATATTATTCTTTTGGTAATATTGACTGTTTCTCTTTTGACTGTTATCCATGAGAAAATCTCCATTTCCAGTCAAAAACTTTTCTTCGATACTTTGTTATTCGACGACAATTGGAAATTTTCTTTTGATGAACAAACCTGGATCACTGTAACATTGCCCCATACTCCCCATCTGGAACCTATCGAGAAAATTGAACAACAATGGCAGGGTACATGCTTCTATTGGAAACAATTACCGATCAATGACAAATATTCTCATATAACATTTCAGTTTGATGCAGCCATGCACGAAGCAGATGTCTGGGTAGATAGTTTACATGTTGGTCGTCATCTCGGTGGTTATTTACCCTTCTATATTGAAATTCCAAGCGGCAGGAACATAACAGTTCGTCTTCGTAACACTGACAATTCTCTTATTCCACCAGGTAAAAATTTGTTTGCATTAGATTTTAATTATTATGGTGGTCTCTATCGTCATGTATGGCTTTTGAGAAAATCTGCCCACCTTCGTTTCGATCGACATATTCGCATTCAATATGAAAATATTAGTCGAGCTCAAGTGACTCTTCGTGTACAGTTCAGTGTCATTCATACACCTAGTAAACTCGGTCAATATCGAATCCGATACTTGTTGGATGGTCATGAACTATTGCCTTCTTCCGTTTTACTTCAAGAAAATTCATCAAAGAAATCTGATTCATATGATGTAAAAATGAATGTTTTTAATCCTCGCCTTTGGTCACCATCACAACCGAATCTCTATGAGTTTCTATTGGAACTTTTATCAGACATAGGAACAGAAGAAGGCATAGTTGATCGACACAACATCAGCATTGGACTTCGTTCACTAGAGTTTCGATCTGATAATTCACATTTATTTTTGAACGGACAACAAATGGATTTTCTTGTTGGAACAAATCGACATCAAGAGTATCCTTATGTTGGCTATGCTCTTTCTGATCAAGCACAGTATCGTGATGCTTACAAAATAAAAAAAGCCGGTTTCAACTTAGTCCGTTGTTCCCATTATCCACCATCGCCAGCTTTTCTCGATGCCTGTGATCGATTGGGACTTCTTGTTATTAATTCAATTCCTGGTTGGCAGTTCTTTAGTAACGAAACTTTTCAAAAGAATAGTCTCGATGATGTACGCCAGATGTTGCGTCGTGATTGCAATCATCCGTCGGTTTTTCTCTGGGAAGCAAGTCTCAATGAAAGTCCGATGACAAAAGAATTCATGGCTCGTGCTCATGCAATTGTCAAAGAAGAGTTGTCGCATGGATTGACTAGTGGATGGCTCGATGAAGAAAATATCTATGATGTATTTACACCAGCTCGACAACATGGTCAACCGCCTGATTATTATAAAAATTATCGAGCAAAGAATAACAAACCACTTCTTCTAGCCGAGTATGGCGACTAGGAATACTTCGCATCACATAAAGATAATTTCAATCAGGCACATGTCTCTTCAAAAGTGTATGAGAACACGTCAAGACAACGAAGATATGATGGAGAAAAACGATTGCTGCAGCAGGCACACAATTTCCAAGAGGCTCACAATGACAATCGTCGTGCTAGTCAAACAGCTCGGATTGTGGGTGATGCGAATTGGTTAATGTTTGATTACAAACGAGGTTATGCACCCGATATTGAAGCATCCGGAATTATGGACATTAATCGATTGCCCAAATTTGCTTTCTATTTCTATCAGTAAGATTGACAACAGAAAAACAAAGATTTGATCTCATAAAATCAATACCGATCGATTCTCTTTTCTCTGTTCAGGAGTCAATGCACATCCTGTGCACCAATGATATTTATCGCTAGTTATTGGACAAATTCATCCAATACATCTGTTACAGTTTATTCCAATTGTGAACATGTTGAGCTTCAATTGAATGGCGAGAGAATTATGAATGGTGGTAAACAGCAGCACGATTCATCTCATCTTCTACGTCCTCCGTATATTTTTAATATTGATCGTTACATACCTGGTCGTTTGGATGCTACTGGTTTTATAAGTGGAAAAGCTGTTGTTCGAATACATCAATCAACGCCTGGGAATATTCGTCATCATTTGAATATTGAAATTGATCTGAGTGGACAATCATTGACAACAAAAGATCTTGTCTTCGTCTATGCCTATATATGCGATCACAACGATACTGTTATTCCCAATGCAGACGACTTGATTACATTTTCTCTTCTCAACGCTCGCAACTATGCATTGTTGATTGGTGACAATCCAGTAAGAGCTGAAGCTGGTATCGCGAGTATTCTTTTGAAAACGACAAATAAGAGACCAGTCGATTTCATAACACTTATTGCTCGAGCATCGACTATCGAACATCAAGAAACACGACGTATATTCTATGTATCTTGATAAAGATTTCTTAGTGGCACAGCCGATACAAAAGACATGCATGGAATTTTACGGATTTGTCGATGAGAATAGACTATTCAAGTCATAGCTAATTTCGATAGTTAAGAATATAAATAGAATATATACCATTTACTATCAAAAGGTCACGAAAAATGTCATCTGTATTAAAACACATAATAGCCATAGAATTTTTGATCGAGAATCAAAGAAACATAATTATTAATACAGACGAGTTTAAATACCAAACAAGGCATGTTATAAAATAAAAGTTATATCCTCTAAACTTGTTTAAATAATTAAAAAAAAATAGATGCAAACAATAGCCATAACAGCTCAGATTTAATGAAAAGAAACATATTTCTTTAGTTGTTTTAGCTCTAATTGTTTTCTTATACAAAAAAAAAGTGTGGGTGTTGGCGAAGATATGATAAATCCAGTCGTATACCCACACTCAAGTGTTTCTACTTACATGTTAATCTATACTTTGATCAAACAAACTACTACAAATATATCTTGAATCTTATTTAATAATTACAAAGAATAAAACTGGGTAGTTTTAAACTGTAAGGTTTCATCAGATAGCTCAAAAGTTCAATAGTATCCATCTGGGTGAGTTCGATCAGAATAAGCATGAGAAGATAGAAGTTCTTTGGTCCTACACTTTTCCACATGATCCTCTTCTAGACACTTGAGCAGATTGCTTAAGGAATATTTTAATATTTGAAAAATATCATCACTTAATCGATAAACAGGAGAAAATAAATGCAAAGAGTTTCAATATCGTATTTGAGCGTCATCTATGTATGTCTATAGATAGAAAATTTCTAAAAAGTTTTTACTCTAAACATGTTTCCTAGTATTCTTTCATTTTATTTTCTTAAATATGATTGATAAATCATCGATGTTTTCTATCATCATCACATCTCTAATTGGTTATTAATAAAACTCTTTTCATGTTGTCATAATCATCATCATGAATTATGTTTGCATTCATTCATCGTTGTTCTTCCGTTTTCGTTAATCTTTCATAATTTTATATCTTGCTCGAGATATATATGAGTTTCACATGATTTTGTCACTTAATCTTTTGCAATATCGTCTTATTTCGACAAAAAGATATTGATGATTGCATATACAACATCAAACCAAATAGATAGTCAGAGACAAGAGTATGAAGCTGAACAGCATGAATTCAATCAAATGTAAGATAATAAAAAATTCTTCGTTTATTTTATATTTATTATTTTGTTTTTATAGTACAGACAGATTCATAAAAAAAATCATATACAATTGAAATTAACATGAGGAACATTGCAAGGTTTTCTTTTTTTTATGAAACTCAATTGATGAACGTATAAAAAACTAGGAAAGCATATGAATAAATTGGCAAAAATAGTAATTAGAATAGCTAGACAACAATCATCTATTGAGTTGAAAAGAAAATAGAAAACATACATGGAGAGAGAGAGAGTTTTAACTTACGAGGAAATAGCTCGAAGTGATTCAATACTTATGAGATCGTATCTTCTGTTCACTTTTTTCTTGCAATAACTTGTCTCTGTATAAAATCTAGCAAAAATTTCTTAATTCTATAAAGAAGATCCATGATTCTTCTAGTCGGCATTCTTTTAGAATCATTCTAATCTAACAGTTCTCTCTGAATATTTAAAATATGAATTGGAAAAATAATAAATCACTTCGAAGAATTTCCTTGTAAGTTTTTGTTCTATTCTTTCAGATATAATTAAACATAAGTAAAATTTTTCGTATTGGTAATTCCACCATCACCTGGTTGTCTATTTTGCCAATAATTTGACAAAATAATTCGAGCTCCCGATTGATTTTTATTTGACAATGGTACAGATGTTAATTGATGTGATTTAGCACGTGTATTAAATGGTGATTGTGGTATATAAGTAAGTTTAGATAATTCATCTTTTCGATGATGATTTCGTTCAATAATAATTGCTTGTATACGTGCTATTTGTAATAATATAAGAAGAATATTTTTAAAAACAAAAAAATAACTTGTATAATCATGACTACCACAACCAAATATAGCATATAAACGTACAATAAGAAAAGGTATATCCATAAGAAATGTTATTAAAAGTGAATTAGTTAAAAATGAATGTAATTCTTTTAATCTATTATTACTAACTTCAGGAACATAAATAACAAATTGTAAACAACTTATTGACCATACAATTAAAGTTACATAAACAAGACTTGAATTTGAATAAAGTTGAGGATATGATAATAAATCAATAAAATCTAATGAATCCATACCTGTTGTAAAATATTTAAATAATAAATCTGTTTTACCAAAATATGATATTGAATCTTGTTTAGGTAATAATGCACGAAGTATAAGAAGAAGAAATAGAAAAACTTGTATTTCAATTTGTGACCATATATATTTAAAATTTTTTAAAAATTCTTTTGGATTAATCGATGGTTTTTGTATACCACCAAATTGAGTTGGAACATTAGTAAATAATATTGGAACAGTTTTCCATGCATCTTGTTTAAGTTGATTAATTCGATGTAATTCAAGTACCCATATTGAAGTAATTATTGTTGCTGAATAAACAAATATAAGAATTGAAAAACCACGAAAATATTCTTTACATCGATATAATGCGAATGATATAATGGCTTCAACACCAAAAAATATTGTTCCAAACATAGGAATAAAATATAACTTTGTTTTAACCTTTATAGTATAAAGAACATATATTGAAAGGCCCATATGAATAGCACATAGAAGATGAGCAATAATCAGACGAATAATACGGTGACGAACGATTGGTTTTTTTTCCATTTTTTTTCTTGCTAAATATCTATAAAGTTGTTTTGATGGTAAATAAAAAGAATTCACCTTAAGAAATATTTGATCATAGATGAGAAATCTAATATTTATATAGTTTCGTTATTTTTACAAAAGGTCTTCTTGATATTTAATTTATTCCATCTCCTATGTAATGAAGCGTATAAATCTGACAACTATTTCGTTACTCTCTTTTTTTTGTTTCTTTCTATAGGAAAGAATTTGTTGTGATCGACTGAAAGAAAAAGTGTGAAAGTGCATTAAAAAAAACACCAAATAAATAAATTTACTTATTTTTCAGATCATGAATAAATAGTAAAAAGAAAAAAAAAACCAAAATTATGGATGATGTGGATATAATTGCTGAACAACATCCTCTTGAATTACTAGAAACAAATCATGATCAAATAAATGATGATAATAATGATACTACATCAACTTCTATGCCACGATTAATTGAACCAATTATTATTCGTGGTGCTGGTCATATAACTGTATTTGCATTAAATAATAAATTTGATGAAGAATATCCACAAGCTTTAACATATAAAGTTGCTCGAGATGAATATCAAGAGACTATTAAACGAGTTAATATGATTTTAAGAAAAAATGTTCCAATGAATTTTAAATGGTAAGCTAAAGAAATATTTTCAATCAACAGTCTTCGATATATAAGCACTTCAGAACATCAAAAATATGATACACACATAATCAAAATAAAAAATTTATATCAATCATTGTTTTTTCAAGTATTGATAAATACGATAGAAATTCTTACTTCATTAATATTTTTTATCAATAAAACAAATCAAAATAACTTGAGTATATATACGAAAATCATCGGATTTATTTAGAATATTTTATATAATTGTGAAAAACAAGTCTAATGATTAGAATAAATGTAGTAAATCTGTCAATAAAATAGACTCTCAATGACTTTGTCTAAATATTCTTCATAAATCTTCTGTATTATTCTTTTTCTTTTTTACCTTCTTTATCTTAAATCATTCTGTGCACGCGTACAGATTTTTTGCTAGAGAACAACTATATTGTTTTACCAACTAAATCAAGATTTTATATTTTATATGTTCGAATAAAGTTGATTAGTTATTGAAATGTTATCATTATATAAAAATGAAAGACGAAACTAACAAAAATCGTTCACTAGATTAAGATTGAAGGTTAACCTTATCTTGTCAAAATATTACTATCAAATATTTGATGATAAAAAAAAATTACTATTTATTTATTTGAGGTTACTATGTGGCTGTATATGTTGTTGTTGTACATTTGGTCTTTCATTCTGTCCCGTATTATATTTAAATAAGCGTTCAAAAAATGCCGTAAACAAAATTCTTGATTGGGAAAATGCTCGTCTCTATCATAAAATTGGTCTACATTGGCGTTTAACAAAACAAAAATGTTCAAATAATGCTGTACAAGAGTATGTTATTATGATTGAATTTCATTCACCTTTATCATTATCTCATCCTGATTAAATTTTTTTTTCTTTTATTTAATAATTGATTGTTTATTTTTTTTAATCTATATAGAAAAGAGCAAAAACAACAGAAAATTTGTCTTTCATATTTTATCAGAGCAACTAAATATATCTATATATTTTAGATATTTTATATTTTTTTTGTTTTTTTTTGGATAAACAATAATGGCAACAACGTCCATACGATATGCAATTGTTAAATCAATTATTTCCGGTGATACACTTATTATAAAACCATTAATACGATCAGCATCATCAACTAATGAAAATGAACAACGAATTTCTTTAAATTATATAATAGCACCAAAATTAGCACGTCCATCAAATGATTCAAATACTAGTCAATTATCTATTGATGAACCATATGCATTTGAAGCTCGTGAATATTTACGTAAACGATTAGTTGGTCGTGAAATATGTTATACAATTGATTTTGAAATAACACAAATGAATCGTTCAATATGTACAATTTATTTAGGAAAAGATAAAGAAACAGGTGAAAATATTATTGAATCATTATTATCTGAAGGTCTTGTAGAATTACGAAAACAAACTGGTACACGTGCAAATGATGCTAATTATAAACGTTTAGTTCTTATTGATGAACAAGCAAAATTAAATAAACATGGTCGTTATTCAGATGAATCACCAAATACTCATATAAGAAATATGAAATGGACATTAGAAAATCCTAAACAATTTGTTGATGAACACAAATCATCACCACCATTCGATGCTATTGTTGAATATATACGTGATGGAAATAGTGTACGTTGTTTACTTGTACCATCATATTATTTAGTAACAATACAATTAAGTGGTATTAAATGTCCTATATTAAAACGTGATGATAATTCAATAAATGAACCATTTTCTGAAGAAGCTAAACAATTTGTTGAAACACGATTATTACAACGACAAGTTAAAATTATATTAGATGGAGTTAATAATCAAAATTTACTTGGAACTTTATTACATCCAAATGGAAATATAGCATTATATTTATTAAAAGAAGGTTTAGCAAAATGTGTTGATTGGAGTTTAACTTTATTGCAGCAAGGTTGGAGAGAAAAATATCGTACAGCAGAAAAATTTGCAAAAGATAATCGATTAAAAATTTGGCAAAATTATGTACCACAAACAGGTCCTATTGATAATGATAGTAATGATAGTAATACTGCTTCTGCAATTAATGGTAAATCAAATGATCCAACACTTAAAGGATATCAGGTAAACATAAGCAAGAATTTTTTCTATTTATAATAAGAAGAGAATCTACAGATTTTTGATTTTTATAAACTTTTACAGGCTAAAGTCTTGGAAATTATCAATGGTGATGGATTAACAATTCGTGATTTACGTGATAATAAAATTAAAAGAATCTATCTTTCATCTGTTCGTACACCGCGTGCTGCTGATTTTCAACAAAAATCTGATGAAAATAATCCAAATCTTAATCGACAACAAATAAAACGACCACTTTATGAAATTCCATATTTATTTGATGCACGTGAATTACTTCGTAAACGTTTAATTGGTAAAACTGTACGTATTATTACTGATTATATTCAACCAGCAAGTAATGATTATCCAGAAAAAATTTGTTGTACTGTTTATATTGGTAATGTTAATATTGGTGAAGCATTAATATCAAAAGGTTTTGCAAAAACTATAAGACATCGACATGATGATGAACAACGATCATCTCATTATGGTAAATTGCTTTTTTATTTATTAAAATTATATATAGAATTTTTATTATTATTACATTAGATGATCTTCTTACTGCTGAACAACAAGCAGAAAAACGTTCTCTTGGTTTATTTTCAACTCGTAGTGGTATTTATCGTATTGTTGATATGACTGGTGATACTAATAAAGAACGAGCAAAAGGTTTACTAAATGTTTTTCAACGTAATGGTCGTATGGAAGGTGTTGTTGAATTTGTTGCAAGTGGTTCTCGTTTTCGTATATATTTAGTAAAAGATAGTTGGATTATATCATTTTTATTATCATCAATTAATTGTCCACGTGCTGAACGACGTATTCCCCTTAGCAATAATTCACAACAACAAAAAATTGAAGCCAGTGAACCATTTGGTGCTGAAGCATTAAATTTCTCCAAAGAACATTTCTTGCAAAGGTAAAATAAAAGTTGTAATAAAGAGGTCATAACGAGAATTTTACAATGGATTAGATTTTTGTTTATGAAACGTGGGTTTTGTCTGTTTTTTTTTATTCACTTAATGAACTGTAATTTCATAAAACGAAAGTGATATAAAATCCGACTGAGTTTCATTTAATTGGTCTCTCAATACATATTTTTCGATTGATTGAATAGTAAGAAAAAAAAACAAATCTTTTGCATTCATTTTTTAGAGATGTTTTTATTGAAGTTGAAAGTGTAGATCGTGGTGGTAATTTTATTGGTCGTTTAACAACTGCTGATGGACAATCAGCTGCATTAATGCTTGTACAAGCTGGTCTTGCTAAAGTACATGATTCTGCATATAATGCATCAAATTATAAACAATTATTAGAAGCTGAAGAAAAATGTCGGAATGAACGTATTGGTGTTTGGACTAATTATGAAGAAACATCAATAAAAGAGAATGAAGATGAGAATAATGAAGAAAATAAACCTGAAGGTAAATTTAAATTTTATTTTAATATAAGAAAACTTTTTTTTTTTTTGTATATAAGATGAAAGTGTAAATGAATCAGATACAATTAATTTTACTGAACCACGTTTTCGTTGTGTTGTTATTACTTATGTTACATCAGACTTAAAAATTTATCTTCAATATTCTGAACAAGGACAAAAACTTGAACAATTACAAACAGATTTACGTGAAATATTTAATCGAACAAAACCTGTTGGTGAATATAAACCAAAAAAAGGTGAATTATTAGCTGCACGTTTTACAGTTGATAATGAATGGTATCGTGCACGTGTTGAAAAAATTGAAGGAAATAATCGTATATCGATTTATTTTATTGATTATGGCAATCGAGAAATAATTACAGATTTAAGTCGACTTACAAAATTACCACCTGGTATGTTATAGATTATTAGAAAGACTTCATCTTGAATGAATGTTGTTTAAGGGCCCCCCCCCCCCTCAGAAAATCGATTTTTTCGAAACAATATCGAAACTGAGTTTTTACTATAGGAAGATAGAGCGAAGCTTCCTCTTTCAGAATATATATAGATTTTTGGAAAATGATCGGTTTTTCAAGGACTCGTCAGATCAGACTTTAACTTCCCTCCCATATTTTCCAAGAAATTTTCGTAGTTTTTTAGAGTTTTTCAGTTTTGGAAAAACCCCGTTGCTACTTCAAATATCATTGAATAAAACATTTTAATATTAACCCGCGTGTAAAAAGGCGTTAGTTTTACTGCATCTTTTACGCGCCTTAAAATAGTTTTAGAAAATTTATTGAAAATATGCCGTTTTAATACGAACTTTTTGAATTTAACCGAAGAAAACCACTTCTAAAACTTCTTTAAGGCTTTTCTCAGAATATGATTTCCAATCAGAAAAATTGGATCTCCTCCCTCATTTTTCGAGCTATTGCCAATATTTTTTTTTTGTTTTAAAGGTTTCGATCAGAGTAAACTTTTGTCCGAACGGATTTTTGAAAGTTGGTTCCTGGGTTGAGAAAAGTGGAATTTACTGTCGTTGGACTACCATTTTTTATGCTAATTTTAAGACCCTAGCACTAAAATGCTCGTAAAAAATCAGTAGGACGGAATATGAAAATTCCGTTCGGACAAAAGTTGCATACTGACACGTACTTTAATTTGAAACCAGCCCGAGCTCTCTATCTCTTCTTATGATGGAGTTCTTCCAATTTTCCTGAAGGCCAAAAATGACCCATGAATCAGCTGGAAGTCCTGTCTAGTATGACCAATCGAGCTGAAATTTTTACCAGAAGCGTATCTCTCCAAGATCAGTCATTCCTGAAAATTTCCGGTTGAAAGGACCGTCAAAAGTGGAAACTCATTTCTGAGGGGGGGCCCCCTTAACAAGTACCGTGATCTGTATTTAGTAATGCTTAAGAGCATCCGAACACATTTCTGGATTGCTCAAGAATAACTAGACGGGAAATTATGTGACATGTAAGATAGATAGATCTCGACTTAGTAGAATAAAAGTTATCATAGACTCAAAATTCCAGGTTGTTTCCTTTTATGATATAGCGAATTCAATGATAAAAAATGACTTGAAGTATTCTTCAGAAACAGTCGTAATTGATTTTTGTTTACAATTAGAATCATATCGGGGTGTGTGTATTTTTACTTTATTCTTTGAAAACTATTGTTTTATTCGCTGAAGAGAATGATTATTTTAAGTAAAAGAAAAATATAAGAGAAACTTCCTTTTTTTTTGTTCAAAAGTAGTTATTAAGAAAAAAGCGGAATAATATACGGTTTTCGCTAATTTGATTTTTTGATCTCAAAATGTACCCAGTAGATAGACACTATTTCAACCGACACCATGGCCAAAAAAAAAACAAACATGTAGAAAACTAAAATTTTGGGTCACAACAGAAAAAAAAAGAACTATATTACATCTGTTGTTTCTAACTATTGCATACAGCATCTGAAATATCAATAATCCTTTTCTCGATTGAGTCATGTATGACTATATCAGGAAAGTCTCAGCTGTTAATTATCATTTTCCGTAATTTGATAGCCTTTGAACGAAATCGATTTTTCTGAAAAACAGATTTCAAATATATACTCATCACATTTTTATGATTTCTCATTTCGAAACAATGACTACCTGTAGAGAACAAATGACTAATTTGAGTTGTGACTAATACATTGAAAAGTAAAACTTTTTCATAGTAACTAAGTGAATGAAAAGCAATAATTATTGAATTATTTTATTGTGTATTAAATATTTTTAGATTTTTCACAATTACCGGGTCAAGCTCATGAATGTGAATTAGCTTATGTTCGAGCACCACGTGATGAAGATGATCGACAAGATGCTAAAAATGCTTTATTAGATGAAATAGGTAATGATGAATGTTTAATTAAAGTTGAATATCGTCAAAATAATATCGAACGTATATCACTTTATCATATGAATACAAAAGAAAATTTAGTTAAAAAATTAGCTGAACAAGGTTTAATTGTTATTGAACAAAGACGTGATCGTCGTCAAAATCGTTCAACATTATTATATAATCAATTACAACAAGCACAAACCATTGCTAAAATAGCACGTCGTGGTATATGGCAATATTCCGATCAAATTGAAGATGATGCAATTGAATTTGGTTTTACAGGACGTAAATAAAATCGAGAAATAATTTTAATTTTTGTCTTTTCTTTGTTTTGAAACTTTTCTATTTAACAAATCTAGATACAATTATACTTATATAATTCATAGTTGTTAAAATAATTCTAAGTATATCTGTGTTAAAAATTTTATAGATTGTGTCTTTTTGCGGTTGTGTGCATAGAGCATTAACAAACAAACCAGATGTCTTTCTTTTTTAGAAAATAATTTATTAAAAATTTTTATTCATTAATAACTATTTAGTTCTGTTTTTTTTTTTTGTTGTTGTTGATAAGGTTGATGACCAAGAAAAAAAAGAAACATGATTTGTTAACCTTGGAATGAGACGAGAAAAAATATGCTTTGTTTTCATTCCATTAGATACAAGGCTAAATTGTTTTTTTTCTTTTCATTTACATCGAATTTAGGTGATGGAAAAAACATTCAAGTTTTAATTAATGTAAAAGAAAATTAATAATGATTTTTTTCTTTCTCGTTGCCGATTAAAAATAATTTATAATGATATATTATATATCTTTAGGTCTATTAGATTTTGTTATTTTCATATCTTGATTGAACTCAGAATATATTTCTTTATCGATACTCGCTTACTTTTCTTATCATACTCATTCAATCAACAGGTCATCATCTCTTCATTCATTATTCATATTATCTAGATGTATATATGTATTGATGCATGTAGGCATGCATGAAACGCCCGCATACGATTCTGATCGAAATGCTATAAAACAAGAGAGCGAGCAAGCGGAAAAAAAGCGAGAGAGAGAAAGGACAAAAATAGAAAATGGGACTCAAATCGTACACACATACGTACATATAAAACATTTACAACTTTATTTATTCATCTCGCTTTCCATCGACAAACATTTACTCATACAGAAAAATGTCCTATACAAAACAGTGGCAGTCAACAGGTGTAACAATGACCGGAACAAATTTCGGTCAAGTTTTAGCATCCGAAGCACGTCTTAGTCGTCTTCATCGTTTATTTAAAACACATTTCAATGTTACTGAACCATCACTTGTACTTGAACCTTATCTATTTCTTGGCAATTGTATTTCAGCACATGATACGCATCGCCTATCAAAATTAGGCATTCGTTATATTCTTAATGTAGCTATACGTGATGTTGAATTATGTCCATATTATTCAAATGATATACGTACACTTACAATTGATCTTCGTGATGATGATAGAGAAAATATTTTACGAACATTTGATCAAGCATTTGCATTTATTGATGAAGCACGACGAAATAAATCTCGTGTACTAGTTCATTGTAGTCATGGACAAAGGTGAGTAAATAGACACCTATCATTTAAAATCTAATAGATATATCATATTGTTTTAATAGTCGATCACCAGCTATTGTTATTGGTTATCTAATGCGTACATATAATGTTCCACTTGAACAATGTCTTAATCATGTTATTAAAGCACGGCCATGTGTTTTACCTAATGATGGTTTTTTAAAACAATTAATTCTTTATGATCGTTTTCTTGTTGATCGACGTCGACAACAAGAAGAAGCAGCTCTTATGAAAGCTGTCAATGTTGTACCACCAACTGAAATTCCAATTCAACATAAACCATCTGTTACACCACAACCTGTACAACCACCACTTACTGTAATATTACCTCCAACAGACTATTCTACAAGCGAGGCTTCTAATACTACACAACTATCATCTGTTGATTCATCAAGCTTCGGACTAACCTCAACATCAAGTATTCAATCATCAACAAGTGCTGAATCAATACAGATCATTCCAATTCAAGTTCAATCAAAATTATCTCATATGGAAAAGGTATAATGAATATGTTTTGTTGTTTTCTATTCTATTTCTTGAATTTTACTTATTATTTATATGCAGGTTAAACCAGTTCTAATCGAAAGAGCATCGGATAAAGATGAATCTACTGTACAAGAAATAAAAAATGATGTTAAAAAATTTTTAGAAAAAGTTGCTGTAACAGATATAGCAATGACATCAGGCAAAACAGGTCGTGAAATAATTATATTTAATCAATCAACATATAAAAAACGACCAAATGCTTTAATTACAAGTATTGTTAAGCAAAATCATTCGCCATCATCACGATCTCATTCAGCTCATGCTGGTCGTAAACATATAAGTCATTACAAACATCCTTCAACTTCACCTGATGCTAAACAATGGGAAATAGTTCCTTATCATTCTAAAAATAATTATACATTTCAAGAAGAAACACCAACAAAATATATTACAGAAATTTATGATAAAGCAACAAATCGTTTTATTCCAATACGATGTTGATATGAACTTCTTTTCTTTCTTTTTTTCTTTTTTTTAATATTTATATGTATATGAATATTTATTAATACAGATAGAGGACCTTAGGTATATTATGTCATACGAGAAAAGAACATATTTTATCTCTGTTATTTATATAAATATACTTTACCAAGGTTTAACATTGACTGTCTGCCCTTCAGTAACCGATAGTTCTTTTCAACTACGACAAGTCAACGATAATCATCTGTGTTTATGACAGAATATTTTAAATGATTAAGTCCTTGTTTTTAGAAAATAAAATACAAAATAAGTTTATTGGACAACATAATGAGAAATTAGTATTTTTTTTTTCAAGTATCATAAAACCATATCAAATAAAACGATCAAACCTTGAAATTGTATTTGATGAGAATAAAACAAAAATTCAATTTACTAAGACGTATAATATATCCAAATAATGAATATTTACAGTATAATTTTATGATGTCTCAATGGCAAAATGTTATCTCTCTCATAAATATACCTTCAAACGTTGTCAGTTGATAGAAAAGACCTTCAATAGTGTGTCTAAGCAATCAAACAAAGAATTGACGAACTATTGACTGAACTATAAATTAATTAAGTTCAAAGTTAATTGTATATTTTAGATTGAGAGGCATTTTGTTTTAAAAATTTTCTAGTATTTCATATGAATATTAGGTTTAATTGATTCTGATGCAGTTTTGTACACAACTATTTTTCAACCTAAATCATTTCTGAAAAAAAAAAATATGACAGATGACTTTTTTATTTGTAGTTTAATTACTAATTAGTCATAATTAACACTAATTCGTGATACTCTAATGTAAAACCTAAATTTTCCTTATGTTAGAATAAATGAAAAACAATCGTGGCATATATCTTTTTAGTATTTTGGACAATATGCTGTAGAATAGGCTCATAATTTGCAGTTTTATATCATTATATTTCTATTTAGGGTCAAAATGGATATCATATTCGAAATCAACATCAAATACTGAGTAATTAAGTAATAACTTAGTCAATAGTGTCCCAATTCTTTCGTTTATAGCATATATGTACCATTGAAGATCTTATCTACAAAATGACAACGTTTGAGGGCATATTTAGAGAGGGCAACTACTCCTTGAAATAGTAACAATTCAACAATGTTAATTATAATAACGAGTACTTCATTACAACTAAAAGGAACTATGATATTCAATTCATAATTAAAGATTATTACATATCAGAACTGATAATTCAAGTTCAATTTCGAACTTTTAGACTGACATAAGACGTTCATGTAATAGTGGAGACGACTCAAAGATTCAACATCACCTGAGCAGTAACAGATCTAGCAATGAAGAAGTCTGTTATGCAGTCTTTCTAATAAATGTTTGCATAAATTAATTAAAATTTTTGAATTGATAAAATCTCTACGAGATGTCAGCCATGTTTGTTAAAATGCGAATTCCATGATGAGTAAAGTTCTCTGATGAGTAACACCTACTTATTCAAAAAGAGCATTACTCATTACTAACATTCATTGTTAATGATTTCCAAAATGAATCAAAGTGTGAATCACTTAAAATGAAACACAACTACAACTGCAACATGAAGTAGGATCAACTAAGCATCTAATAAAAAGTTTTGCATGTTGTTCGTGAGAGATGTGGTATTTTCATTATATATTATTTGAAAAATTCTGAAGATATACTAATAAAATTCTTTTTTCGACTTTAATTTATCCTCAGATAATTGAGTTTTTCAAAAAAAGAAAGGAGCAAATTCGAAGTACAATACCATCAAAAAAAAGACTTAATCAATGTAACTATGATATATATTTGTTGAGATTTAAATATAAAATTGATTTTTGTGCATTGATGAATTTTATTACACATTGTTTTATTTTAATAAAAGCTGTGTATTTATAAATTTGTACATTTTTTGTATAAAAATGGCACGTAGAACAATATATGTGTGAGCACACTACTTCAGAAGATATTGTTGAGAAATCACCATCTGTTCGAGAGAATCTCGAGCCCATCACTTGGCCTAAATCATTTGTCTCGACACGATGTATTATTCATTTCTCTTATAGTGAAATCGAAACATAAGATGGCGTCATAGTTTGATGATTCTAACTAAGAATTTTTATCATTAATTATTGGTGAATAGTCTGTTAGAATAAAGGAGCGAATAGTTTTATGAAGGAATGAGAGAAGAGAAACGAACATAATAACCACCATGAGATTGACTTATTTTGAACCATTTGCTGATGTGTAGATGATTCATCACATCATTTCTACAAAGAATCTACTAATGCACTTATTCATATTGTTTTACAAGCGAGTCAATCAAAAAGATGTATATATAGTAAAACTAGACATAACTTCTAATGTTCAAACACCATATTTTCGTCTTGGCTATTCTTATTTGATTTTATCAATAACTAGCGTCATCTCTATGGTGAATACTTACAACCATCTAAGTGGAATTAACACAGAGCGGCATCTATTAATTTTTTTAAAATAACGGTCACCACAATATTTTATACAAATATTGTTTAAGATCTGCAAGATTTTGAATATAATTAAATCTTGAGTAACGAACCAGTTATAAGAAAATCTTTATACAGTGCATTTAGAAATAACTACTGAAAATCAAGTGTTTTCGATACATCAGTCACTAGTTCATTTATTTACGGCAATACAAAGAAACTTATTTCATTGTTCAATTGACAAACAAAAACGTCTTTGTGTGTTTTGGTTTTTTCTCTATAGGCAACAATTTAAACTAAATATGTGAAGCACCGCTGATATAACTAAAAAAATATTTCGATAATTGAAGTTTTCCTTATATAGAAATATTGATAATAATTTATTTCTGTGGTTTTTATTCGATATTTTCTGTCAGAAATTGTTATTATATTAACTGTATGAAAATAAATTAAGCAGAGAAATGATATAAAATTCAAAATGTTAGTCAGCTTCATTTGAACCGTTGACAGCTGTGTTGTACATCAATCAACACCCCAGGTCAATCGTTACGGGTCACCATAAATTACTGTAACATTACCGGAAAAACTGTTTTTACACTTGATTATGGCTATATAACTCGCTGTTCATATATGACAACGTATTCTCACCGTAAAGTGACGTAAAAATTTGATAATATTGCCGTATTCTATTATAAATGTGGCTGTATCATTGAATCTATATTGAAATGGGAATATGGTCCTGTTAACGTGTCATAATAGATCGTAAACGGTCGTATACGCATCGTATTCTTCAATCTGAAGTATAACTTTGATTGAGGAGTGTAATCAATAGCCATAACAGTGAGTCAAGACGTTCACATCAGTTTTATCTAGATTTTATAAGTTGAAGAATAAAAAAATTTTTCATATGAAAAAAAGATTCTAAATAAAACTTGCAATAAAAAGCTATATAGATCATGTTTCTCAATACTATATTATCTTTAATAGAATAATTCATTTTTTTAAATGAATCACTCAGATATATCGATATCAAAATTAATAAGCGAAATGTTGTTGGCATGCAATAGGAATAAAAATTCAAATTATTTTTTCTTTTTGTACAATAATAGAAAGCATCAAAACCAGAAAAGAATACAGAAATTTTTTTTTAACATGTAGGATTACCGCAGTCAGTATTTTTCATAGACGTGAAAATTTCTTATATTATTGAATAGAGAAATGTCTACTGAATCATCACCAATCATTTACAAGTACTTGAATTTGCTTTATTCAGAACAATATTGTCTAAAAAGAAGAACATGCCAAAAAATGTTCCTAATCAGGACAAACCATAGAAAATACATAGAAAATTACCTATTAGAACTTGAAAATTTCTTTGTGTTTATGTCACAATTATTGATGACATTAATTCAGAATATAAATATTTCCTATGTCATCAAAATCGTGCGAAAATTGACAATTTCATTATCATTACTCAGATAATGATTCCGATGATCTGACTTTGTCGTAGTGTTTGGATCAATGACTATGACACGTCTCAATGTGAATATCATCGTACTCGTACATTTTTCTTGTGAATGACGAGAGCAATGATTTCTTTCTTCCTATCCGCAGTAAATGATACCAGTAACGGTAGTCGGTTCAACTCACTTGACCCTCGATTGTATCAGACAGAAGTATACAAGTCTCATCCATGGACACCCAGTTATGAAACAGCTGATTAAGGGAGAACTTATCACATCGGTCGGATTGACTGAATTTTCAGTCTGAAAAATCGAATTGGTTGAAAGTTCAACATTAAAAGCACTCGAATCGAACACTTAGCCAACGTTTTTTATGACGTTTCACCTTTCACTCTGACAAAAATGGACGAAAATTTATTTTACTTCATATAACCCTTCCTATACTCGAGAAAAAATTATTTTCTCAAAAAAACCTTTTTTCCTGAACCAAAAAAATTCAATTCAAAACTTTGAGAAACTAACTTTAGATTCGGATTCTTCGACCTTGATTTACTTTCGTCAACCTTTATAAAATATCATTATTTTCTCAAAAAACCCTTTCCTTAACCTAAAAAACTCAATTCAAAATTTTGAGAAACTAACTTCAGATTCGGATTCCCTGACCCCAATTTGCTTTCGTCAACCTTTATGAAAAAATTCATCTTTGTTGTTTTTTTAACCTTGTGCTCTTTTGACCCTGACGCAAACACACATACAACTCATTTTTTTTCATATGAGCCTCCCTATAGTCGAGGAAATCCATTCAAAATTTTGCGAAACTGACTTCAGATTCGGATTCCCCGACCCCGATTTGCTTTCGTCAACTCTTATAGAAAAGAACTTTAAATGGATGTTTTTTTGACCCTGATGTTCTTTTGACCCCGACACTAACATACACACATAACCTATTTTTTTTTCATATGACTCTCCCTACAGTCGAGGGAACACAAAATGCTTTTGTTTAATACAATCATCACAGAGAATATTGAGTTTTAGGTTAAAATAAACTAGGACAGATT